GCAAACTTGCTGAGGGAGCACTCCAGCCCTTCATCCAGGTCGTTAATGAATAAGTTGAACAGSACCGGACCGAGAACTGACCCCTGGGGGACACCGCTAACTATAGGCCTCCAACTGGACTCAGCGCCACTGACCACCATCCTGTGAGATCTGCCATGCAGCCAGTTCTCAATCCATGTCACCGTGCACAGTTAGCCAGGCACTGCCTTGGTCCTCTGAAGGTGCAAATTTGGGCCCCTCGCAATCTGGGTCAGACTGGCGACTGGTGTCACACAGGGTCGAGGACAGCTGTGCGTCTCCACCTGCGAAGGCAAACAGCAGCCCCCAGCCTTGCCCGACAAACCACATTTTAGCTAAGAGCGTGGCAGGAAATGCCACGCTCTTTCTTTTCTTTTTTTCTTTTATTCTTTTTTTTTCGTGTCATTACAAAGAAAACAAGAGCGTTTCTGCTGTGCTGCCAGCTGCGTTGCACCGGGCAGAGCGGCTCACCCATGTTGCTGCCAGAGCTTAAAGGCGCTTTGCAAATTGTTGGAGGGGACACAAATGCCCATCCCCTGCTTGATCTCCTTTTGAATTCCCACCACCCAAGGAAGCCAGGATCTGACTGGGATCTCCTTCCAAACAGGRCAATTCCCTGCAGACCTTTTGCACTGGGAAATAAGGCTCCTCAGTGCTCCTTGGGGCCCACACAGAGCCATGCAGAGAGGCAGAAATGCAATTTTGACCCATGAGCCTGAGTCCAGGAGCTGCACAGGGAGTTCTTCACCCCCTTTATCTATATTGCCTCATTTCCCCCCAAATGCTGAGTACTCAGTAGTAGAAAAATAACTCGATGTCTGGACCTGTCACCAGAGCAGTGCAGCGCCCTGGAGCAGCCCTCCCACATCCAGAAATCCAGCCCTTTCAACAGGGACCACATCTTTCCCCTTATTTTTATGGCATGTTTCTTCTCTCTGGAGTTGCATACTGCATTTGGGGACACTCCTGATTGCAGGGGTTCATCCTGTTCTCACCCATGAGCACCGTGTCCCCACATGCCAGACCCACAGCCCCACACGCTGCTTCATTCCCAACCCTCTGCCTTTGGGCCAGGCACCTCCACAACCAAGGAATTGAGCAGAGACTGAAACACGGTCGGGAGCASCTCAGGGTTTGTAAATCCCCTGGTTGTTTTCCCAATGCAGATGTTTTTCTTCAAAAAGGGGATGCTTTATTGCACGAAGGTGGAAATAAATCTAAAGCATAATGAACTTGGCCAGGTAATGAAGGGGTGCCCCGTTTTGGCCTGGCAAAAGCTGGGGGGCTCCGAGGAGCCTGTGTAGCACAGCAAGGTCACAGGCTGCCTCTCCCTGCCCTGCTGTTTTCTTCCCAGGCGAGCAACCCCAAACACSGTGGGGAAAGGCCAAAACAGCAGCTGCTGCCCGGCACGTTCCCACCGGGCTCGGATCTTTGTTACTGATGGGCCGCCCGACAAGGAGGTCCCGCTTCCAAAATGTTTTCCAGCCGGAGCAGCACTCAGACCTGAGAACTGCTCGGCCTTCGGGAAGGGTGTAAACAGCGGCTTCGGCCAAATAACCCTTTGTGTTACAAATGGGAGTGCCAAGCTTTTGGGCTGCAAATATTGAGTATAATTTGGGCCAATTTGCCCCCCCATGGGGCTGCTGAACCTCTCCCATGGCCTTGGTGACTCTGTCCAGGGAGTATGTCCTATGCAGGGGGGCTGCCAGCCCAAGACAGCTGCACATGGCTCCAGCTCCCAGCCTTGGAGCCCACTATCTTGTTGCTGTCTGCTCCGGGGTTTGTTTTTTATTTTCTTTCTTTGCTGCAGGGAAGAACGGTCTGGAACACAAGCTGTTGCAGCAGCAAGAGGCGCTGGGCTCAGCTCCCACCATTGCTACCAGGGAAAGGAGCAGCTTTCTGCAGCCCCCAGGCCCTGGGTGTTTCTCACAGCCAGTTAAGGAGGGGGGTCTGTCTTAGAAGCGAAGTGAAACCAAATGGGGAAAACAAACAGGGCAAAACTGGGGTCATAAACAGCCAGTCAAGCCCATTTACCCCCATCTCCCCTGCATCCATCTCCTCCGCGGCCTCTGGCACATGCAGGGACAGAGCAGAAATCCCCCGCTCCAATGGAGCTGCCTCAGGGAGACTACGGCTTTATCAAGACCAGAGTGCCTGAACATGGCAGCATCTAAAGAAAATTACCCCAAACGGCACCTGCTTTTTTTTCTCAAAATGTTGTAATATCAAAGGCTGGTGACAACTGCTGGCTTCTCCCCCAGCTGTAATTGCACATCATGTATTTCATGCAAATTGCAAAGCACAAGTGGCTCAAAGCTCTCAGTGGCCCCCCCAAAAAATCAAAAAGCAACTGCAATATTTCAGCTACAACTTCAACATTCCTGTGCATGAAGCACTCGGTGTTGGGGCTCACAGAGCCCTCATCACTCCTGCCCTCTCTCGCCCACTGAATTTGCTGGGGTTGATCCCTGCCCTTCTCCCAGTTCCCTGTAACTCTGGCCATCGAGCCCTCCATGAGTTCTCCTTGTTTCTCATCCCAACGGTGATCCAAAGCGCTCCAGAGCCGGCAGGTCGGTGGCTTTTACCGCCCCGAAGGAGGCCGGACCCGTGGCGAGGGCCCCGCGCGACGGGGGAAACACCTGCGCCGAGACGGGAAACCTCGCGGGCCGGCGGAGACGGGCGCCCGGGCGCGGTGGGAGGCACCAGGGCGGCTGGCAGGGGCTCCCGGCCCCGGCATTTGGGGCGGCTGGAGCATCTTGTCCCTTCCTTGCAGTGGGAAAAGTGGCAACCAGCACTCGTGGAGGCCACCTGGGCCCCCTCCCGTGGCACCGGACCAGCCGCCGGCTCCGCTGGTGTCTCTGTCCCCATGGGTCAGCAGCGGCTCCGTCTCTTCCTCTGCCTCCAGGTCACAGGTAAGATCCYCTGGGAATGAGCCCCGGAGCAGAGGGGTGCCCAGCCACCTCCATCTGCCAGCKCTATCCCATGGGATGTGTCCATGGGCTGTTATTCTATAGATTATATATACKCTTGGTCCTGTATCCCCTCTCTCAGGGTGACCTCCTGCCAAAGCAGTTCTTGGGCAAGAAAGTGCTGGCAGCAGTGGGAAACACCCCTTAAATGGATATACTGGGATGGCAGCTCGAGTTGTTGCTCCCAGGTTTCCTCATTCCCTCCCTGCAGGTTTCCTCACTGCTCCCCTCCGGGGAGGAATGGATCCGCAGCCCATGGGAGCAGGCTGAGCCGGGGCTCAGGCGGGACCAGAGCACTCGGGTAAAGCCCTGCCTGTTCCCCGGGTACCCCCGGCATCCATTGGCAGCTAGGARGTTCTCAGCTCTGCTTTAACCTTCTCCCAGCTCAATGTGCTGGGGTTTCCCATGGGAGCCTGGCACRGAGGGGCCTGGGGGCGTTAGTGTTAGCCAGGGTCCCTGTGCACTGAGACCCACGTCCCGGCAGACACCCGGGCGCTCGGCAAGCGCACGCTTGGAAGRAGCCCATCCTGAAACACCGACATGACATAATTTAGAGGACAGATTTTAGAGGAATATGGGCATCTTAAGGCAAAGAAATGGGAAAAGAAGTTATGTTCAGCTTTTAGCAAGTCTTTRAAACACGCCTGGGAAACAGGCAGGGGGGGAAAGAGCCTCCTTATCTCCCGGGCGGTTTTTGCCACTTGGTCTCAGAGTATTTGCAGCCTTGTAGGATTGTATTTTGGAAAAATAAAAAGGCCTGCGAGTCCCCTTTTATTCTCCTGCAAGGACACGTCCACTCTCCCACACAGATACTGCTCGGGTGTCTGCCAAGGCAGACAGCAACGCAGATAATTCCCACCAGCACTGCAGAGCTTGAACACAGTGATGCCAAAATGGAGCCTCCCAAGTCCCTCTCCTTCTCCCAGAGCATGARATCAATAGGGAAAAAAATCCCTCTGAAAGCTGACAGAAAATAAAAGCGGCTTGTTTGGAAGTTATCTTCATATTATTTTCGCTCCCCTGTTTTGGAGCTGCCCCTCTGAGGACCAGCAATGCTTTTGTGTGAGAGGAGGCTAAAAATGCATCCCCAAAATTGCAGAAATACCCCTAGGGAACAGCTGCCTTGCTGCATTAACACTCCTTGGGGGTCCTTTTCCCTGGGACACGAGTRGAGGGGTCAAGGCAGCAGCTCTCACTGCTGCACATGTGTCACAGCAAGCGCAGCCTCTGCACCCGCTGGGTCCCCCTGTGCGTGAGCCTCTGTGGTCGCGTTCGGCCTTGAAATCCCACCTTAGGTTTATCTTCAACCCCTGTGCTGCTTCTGTGAGGAAAATATCTTACAAACAAGCCGAGAGGTGCAAGAAGATCTGGCCAAAGAGGAGAAGCTTTTCTGAAAAACAGGAGACAAACAGGAGGGTAGGGGCAACCTCCACTGGAGACAACGTCAGAGTCCCTTCCAGATCATGCAGACTCCGGGACAACCTGTAGGACCTATGGAAGATCCCCCCATCCCTYTCTGCCACCTCGTTTCCTTCTACGTGAAGATTTGTGGGGAAACAAATACCTGTGTTTTGGCCAAAACATAGCGAAGGACCCCAAAGGCCATCAGTGAAATATTGGCTGGGTTTCCTGGTAAAGACTGCCCCATTTCTCACTGATGTGACCCTCTCATCTGTGACTGCTGACATTATTAACCTCAAAAGGAAATATGTGCTTACCACACAAAGGGAAAAAAAAAAAAGGGGGCAATGGCCAAGATGTAACTATGTATTTCTGTCTYTTTTTTAAGGTTTCTGTACAAGTCTGTTTTTGTCTCAGACTCCCGAACGTATTTTAGCCCAAACGAAAACCAGAACAGAAATCATCTGCCACGTGAAAAAATCTCAGTATGGGGGTGTGTACTGGTACCGATGGAACCAGGAGAGACAACTTTTCCAGTTCCTGGTGTTCCTAAACCTGCTGGGCAAAACCACCTATGGCAGGAACRTCAGCAGTGAGAAGTTCCAGGTGCATGGAGGGCATTCTCAGAACTCCTACAGTCTGCACATCCAGCAGCTCCAGCCTTCCGACAACGGCACCTATTACTGCACCATCTCCCAGGCCTCGGAGCTCCTCCTCGGCGCCGGGACGAGGCTCGGTGTGGGTAAGCATCTCCATAGGGGCCCTGATCATCCAGGCCTTGAGGGTAGGAAGGGCAGGGAAGGTTGGGGCTCTTGGGCTTCCTAGAAGAGACCTGGTGAGTCAGAATATACAGTAAATGGCTCTGCTGCAAGTGGTCAACCTGCGTGTGTGGTGGTCAACCTCCCACCACTTCTTCTGGCCATGCTCTGGGCCCAGCACTGGGGACATTTCAGGACTTCCAAGGGAGAAGAAGACCCCCTTCTTCTTGTGCCTTTCCAAGAGAAAGAAAAATACTGTATTTGAAGTAGGATTCAACCCTTCTCAGCYGCCCGTGAGGCAGAGGAAGAAGCTGCTTAGCCAGGGTGCAGTGACAGCAGCTGGCTCTAAGGCATCGCCTGTGCCCCTGCATTTCTTTTTGCAAAAAGCACCTTGCAATTTTAGTTCACTTAGCTGGCTCAGAAATCCCCCTGGGATTCTTGCAGGCCTGAGGGAAAACTAACTCAAGATAAAGGCATGTTGTTTTTTATCAACTATAGCCATATCTGTGTCCTGAAAGCAAAGCATTAAAAAACACGGCTGAAATTCAACATGATCAAGGGCGYGCCAATTTAAAACTAAGTCCCAACAGATGGTCTGGGAGAGCTCAGACTTCACTGGACATTTTTCCCTTTAATATGCGAGATAAAGGAAATAGTCATTGAATTCCTTTTTTTTTTAATCCATCGTTAAGTAAAGGAGAAGTAATCCAGGTAAACCCCAATTACCTAATGTTTCAGAGMAGGTCTGGAATATTGGAAAGTCTTTTCCACTCAAACTAACAGTGTTTTCCCCAGGAATTTCAATCTAAGATAGAAGAAAAGATAGTTTTGAACTTCMCAGAATTCTGAGTAATTGGAGTGTGAGTAGTCAGATATGTAGGTACTTAATCAGCAGGATTTTTTCCTGACCAATTTTAATAGACAGATGGATGGGTTAAGTTTTAATCCTTATTCACCACAATAAAGCATGGCCTTGTTTTGTCAGAAAAAAAAAAGTCCAATTCCAAGCGAAGAYTATAATAATCTGAATATGGAAAAGATCCAGGGATCCCTTAAAAATCCCAGTGCTATTGAAATCTCCTATTGCTTTTGATTTTGGATAACAAATGCATGGTTAGCAGCACATCGGGCACAATGTAAAGCCTTCAAATAAAGAAAGAGACTACTTGGCAATTGCTCAGCTGAATTAAGAGCAAAGACAGGGGGAGAGGAGGGAACGTTTGGGCACTGTCAGGATGCAGGATTGGATTCTGCACTGATGGGAACGTGCTAGCAGCTCTCTCTCTATGTTTCTATTCAGCAGAACTATACAAAATCTGATTTGGAAATAGCCCAGAAGACATTAAACCCATTCTCAGAAGAAACCCTGCCAGTGCTCATTGCTGGCTGTCGACCAGGGCTAATGGGACTGTGTCTGGCAGCGAATGCAGCTCGAGAAAGTTTTCTTTCACTCTGGCTTAAACTTCTGTCCTTCTTTATCTAAGGCATCATCACATTAATGCTTTTAAAGGCCCTKGTTAATTTCTGTGGCCACTTACGCGTTCAGGTCCAGCTCCAGAAATCCAGACCACGCCATCACAGATCATCTCATGCTTTGTCAGATCACAGACATATCAGACAGATCACTAAGAATCGCAGTACCCCATACTCATAAGCCAACAGCCCGTGTTGCTTTGGGGTCAATTTGTGTAGTTTTAAGCAGAATCCGATCTTCCCATTCTACTTACTCCTCTGCTTATTTCTCTACTCTGCTTGTTTTTTAAGCTGCTCAAAATGTACTTTTTAAGGCCAAGGCTTTCAGAAGCTCTTGGGGACTGAGTGGTTCTCAAGCGTGAGGGACTGCTCACGCTTAACACTGTTTTATTTTATTAACCACCTTTTACCTCTTTATCATCAGTTGAAGTTTTGCCTCTGCCGCCGCTGTCCACTCGAGCAACTCCTTCCAGAAGGCCCAGGGGACACGTCACCAGGAGCAAACCTGTGCACAGGAAAGGTAGAGGAGCCGCCCTCGCTCGCGCTTTTCCAACGGGATCTGCAGGAGCCCCGTGTGGCTGCTCCCTGCTGTGCTCCCTGGGGCTCCTCGCTGATCCTCGGAGCTTGTCCGAGCTGTGGCAAAGGGATGCCATGTGTTTGGGCATCTTGGACTCGAGCCCCAGCTCAGGACAGAGCTCCTGGCATATGGGGCCGGTAGACACTTCCATGTAGTTCTACCCAAGCAMTGAGGAACCGCAGTGCTGGTGTCTCCCCTTTGCTGTGCAGATGTGTGTCACACGCAGGCCCACGTGTGCCTGACATCCATGAAAATGCTGACACGCTTCATTCCCTGGGACACAACTGCAACCCCAAGGTGCGGGTGGTCCCTCCAGTGCTGAGGGTGGGCAGGTGGTCCCAGCCTGGGAGGACAGGACCCGTCCCCAGGGAGCTGGGCTCCAGGGCAGGGTCTCACCAGTTCCTCCCCTTGCTCCAGGTTACTGCAGCCCCCTCATCTGGGTCCCGCTGGCCACGTGCGCCCTCATCCTGCTGCTCTGCCTGGCTGCCATCGGCCACCGCTTCCACCGTAAGCCACGGGGCACGGAGGGGCTCACGGGGCTGGAGGACGAGGAGCAGGACAGGCCTCCCCAGAGCGGTTTGGGTCACGGGGACACCCCCTGCACCCCTTCCCTGTGGGACTAGAGTGGGTTTGCAGCCCCCAGTGTGGGGCCGGGACTCTCCAGGCATTGCTGGAGCAGCGGGACAGGTTGGGACCATGACCCTGGGTGACAGAGCACCTCTCCCTGCAGGGCTGCAGAGAAGGTTGTGGCTTCGCATCCACAGGCAGTGAGTCCTTCTGCCTCCCCCTGCCAATGGCTGGTGACGAGGGAGACCATGGAGCCTCTTCTGCACCATGCTCATCCCTCCCTGGACCTCACCAAAATGCCCTCTGGCCACGGAGTCCCCATCCTCCAAACCAACACATGTCCCCAGCAGGACAAGGGCGGTGGMAAAGTCCTCCTGAGACCCTGCTGCCTTCCCTGGTGTGGAGCAGGATGTGGCGGAGACCAGCCAAGGACGAGAAGGGCGAGACAGATCTGTCCTTGCGATGGACCCTGACTTTATTTAAGAGCTTCCTTCACGCAGCAGGTTACAGACCCTGCCAAAGGGCGAGCGTTTTCCCAAGGCTGCCGAGGGCTTCCTGCCCACAGGGCCTGGGAAGGACTGGAGCGTCTGCGGGATCTGCGCCGCGCGGGATGGGACAGGGCTGTCTGCACAGCCGGGAAGGAAGGAAGGAAGGACTCACTGCCGCGGGCTGGGGACACACGCCAAGGGCTCCGTGCTCTGTGTTYACCCTGTAAATCTGCATGTAAAAGCTTTCTTTTTTTTCCCCCTATAAAGCTGTTTCAGGGCTTTGCTGACCCCCTGCCAATGTGCAGCTGGAGCGGGCAGGTTCCTCAGAAACGGCAGCTAAGCTGTGTTGTGGTCCCGCTGTGCCRGCTGCTCCCCGGGACAAGCCGCCGGCCGCACCAGCACAAGGGTTAACTGGGAAGGAGGCCTCCAGGTGTCGGAGCTCCAGGGGAGGCTGCAGGGCACCCACGCACTGATAGGGACAAGGCCGGGCGCGGGCAGCTCCGCGAGGGCAGCGCCGGCCCCGATAGCAGCAGCACCGGCCCCGACGGCAGCCGTGGCCACTCGGGCGCTGGCGCCCAGCCCGGGCTCCCCCCGGCTCCAATCGCTCCCTCCTGCAGGCCAGGATCGGCCTTGGGGACGAAGCAGGGGGTGCCCTGGGTCCAGGGACCGTCGTGCTCCTGAGGGATGAGACCCGTGCCCACRTCTGCTTTGGGATGCTGAGCACACATACAGCCTTCCCGGTGCTCCATAAAACCGTTCTTCCCCCCCAGAGATGCCTCATGATTTAATTTAACTGCCGTTCGATCCGGGTCTCCTATGGGGTTGAGCGGGGAGCACGTGGGGGCACCGGGGGCTGCTCCTCTGGCCCCGGGTCTGTCCCCACACAGGGACCTGGCTGGGCCAAGAGGGGACGTCCCCCACATCGAGGCCTGACAGAAACAAAAATCACATCCGTTTTCCAGAACGTAAGGGAGAAGGAAGTGGAAACTCATAGAAAGACACTTTTATTCCTGAGAAAACTACCCCAGCCCGCAGACATTTGCAACTAGAAAAGCTTCTTTCCCCCCCAGCCATAACCCTGTCCAGAGGGCAGAGCTGTTGGGGTCCAACGCAGGCAGAGGGGGGATTCCCTGGTCAATGCTCTTCCCTAATCCCTTTGGAATTTTCTTTGCATTTCTCTCCCGAGCCCACCAGCCTTCAAGAGAATAACAACAAGGACTTGGAGGTCCAAGCCCATGGCTAATAAAAGATGCCACTTTACAAAGCATAGAGAAACCCACAAGAGCTCCGTAAAGCCAAAAGGTCTTCAAATAGGAAAAAAAAATATTTTGGGTATCTACTAGGTTTAAATGCAAAGTATCATCCACATTGTGCCCAATCCCACAAATCCCTGGGCGGTAAAGGGTGAAAGAGAAATAGCAGCAATGCGGATTATGCTTTGCAGTAAATATTCTTATTGCTTTGGGRAAAAAAAAWTGTTGATATGCTACAAAAACAGTAATTACATTGTTAATCTTCCAAGAGAATTTCAGCTGCTACCAGTGCTCATTTTCTTCTTTATTCTTTTTACCTACCATTGTTTCTACACCAGTGACCTGTATTCTTATAACCCAAACAATAAAATACAAAACCAGGTGCAGCTGAAAACAAGGCAGTGACAGTAGAGCAGGGCTTCTACCTTCCCAAAGWAAAATAAAAATAAAAATAAAAATAAAAATAAAAATAAAAATAAAAATAAAAATAAAAATAAAAATAAAAATAAAAATAAAAATAAAAATAAAAATAAAAATAAAAATAAAGAATTGTGGGGTCATAAACATATATTAGTTCAACACACTAATGTAGAAATGCTGAGTAACATCTCTATTAAATTATTAAACTTGAAATCCATGTAAAGGGGAAAGAAATATATGTATCTATTCATGCTGTTTCTGCTCCTACATACTTAATCCTTGGTCAAAACGACTCAATATGTAAACACTGGATAGTAGATAGATCCTTCCTGTAGGGAAAATAAAAGGACTTCCGTGATTCTGTGATTCTGTGACTTTGAGGCATCCAGGGTGTCCTGCTGAGTGTCCACATGGGAATTTCTAAACGTCTCCTTCTCCTGCTGTGTGAATGCAGCTGGGGCTCAGGCGCTGCCCCACTTGCTCCTATCCCCTTTCCAGTTTGGCAGCCGGGGTCCACGCTGGAGCTCCCAACACACCAGGGCTGCTACAGGGTTTCTGAGCATCAATTGCATCTAGGGCCAACTCACAGTCTCTCTTCTTATTTGCAATACATAAATGCAAGTAGATTTTAAGGAGTTTACAAATAATGTTTACTGGATGTTTTARATGTGACTTATTATGCAGCTGAGCCCAATGCTAGCAAACATGGTGAGAGCAATAAATATCTTGAGGAGAGCAGGTAGGTACAGCAGCAACAAAGCCCTCTCTCCACAATTCATAAGCATTTATTAATTTTTTATGTTCTGGAAATTTAAAGCATATTCAAACATGACCACCAATGGAAAAGGTCCACTTAAAAAAAAAAAAAAGCCACAGAAAACTCTACTATGGGAAATTCTGCACATTGCCTCTACTTTCCATATTCTAATAATATCACAACTTGAGGATTTTACAACCTCGAGTGCAGAAGCAGCTGCTGAGARTCATAGTGAAAAATACGAGATCTTTCCTTTGTAGTGGCACCCGAGGCGCTCAGAGCCCTGGTGGGGCTCAGAGCCCCTGACCAAAGCCGGAGCTGTCGGAAACCACACGGCAGCTTCATTGCCAAGYTCGACTGAAGACCTTGCATGTGCGGTGCTGATGGAGGGCGGTGATTTTATCTTAAAACAAAACCATTTTTCACACATTCCCACTCACAGGCTGAGGGTCCATCACCCTGCAGCACAGGCTGCTGTGCCAAATCTGTCCGCTTGGGAATATTTGGAATAATATCCCAGATTCTGCTGCTCTGGCCCAACCCTACGTAAAGGAGAAAATGCCCATGATTTTCCTTGGTTTCCAGATATATTGCTCTGATTAATACAAGGGTTTGCACGCTTTACAGAAGACAGCATTAAAACACATCATGCAAACATACAAATATACACACATATATATATATATATGTGCACCTGTGAGTTGTGCACATAGGACCGCTGTTCAGCTCCCGGTTCCTTGGCCAGGGCTGTAATCTCTGTGTCTGGTTGTTTACAGCAGGGTCAGTCTGCGAAAGCGACAGCCTTTCTAAGGCTGAATTTGGCGTGTTGTGTCTACCTGGGGGAACGTCAGAGCAGCTGCTGCTTTCTGATGGCACCGCCACCTCCTTTGAAGGAGATACCCCGCGTTATGGTTGTGTCTCTGTGGGGCTAGCTCTAGGGGGAGGGCTTGGTGGGGGGTGGTTTGTTTTGGTTTGGTTGGTTGATTTTGTATTTTGTTCTTTTTTTTTTTTTTAAGTAAGTGTAAAAATGTGAAGAAATAACTCTCTGTACAGGCCAGTCAGCATCATGAAGAGGACCCCAGAGGAGATGAAGCAAGTAAGCTCAAGCAAACAATGGGGTGACACCCAGCCAGCACCGTGGGCAGTGGAACCAGGGAACGATTCTGCTCCRCTAGCTCCGATCGGCTGGGGAAATTCAAGACACATTAAGAGTAAAGACCCCAGCCAAGTCCTTCTCCCTACACAGAAGGGCTCAGATCATCCCTGGGGTGCTCCCAGGTGCAGGAAAGCCCTTCTCAAGCCATGCACACGGGTATTGCAAACACTGAGCACATCCAGGTTGCAGCTACATGTTGCAGCGCCGAGATGACGCTGAGATGTTGAGCTAGGGATCACCCTGAAGGCTGGGGACAGTGGGGAGATGAGAGCGGGRAGGCACCCACACATTGCAAGCTGTATTTGGAGGTGTGTTACGAGGATGTTTAGCGAGAAGGATCCAGAAGAGAGCAGCAGTGTTGGCCACTGTGCTGGAAACACAGAGCCGGAGTGGAAAGAGCGCGTGTGACTCTGCGGTGTGAGAGCCACCGCTGACGTCCTCCAAGCCCACCCGGTGCTGCAGCTCTGCAAGGCAAAGGGGACAGCAGGCTGCTCAGAAACCGCAGCTTTAGTTCACACCGGATAAGCCGCACGCTGCAGCAGCAACATTTATTTTTTGTTTGTTTTCCCACTCTGTTCAAAACAAAAGTTGGTAGATTCACAATGAAATTTTGCAGTTCTTCATAAGATTTTCCATTCCTCCCTCATCACAAGACCCTTCATGGAAGATTTCAGTGTTAACAGAGGGAAGAATCAGCATGGCCCAAATAAGCACAGTCAGATGTCACAGCCTGGTTATCGCGATGGGACCATCTGCAGGGATCGAGAAGCACCTGCTCGTCACCTGCCTCATTGCTCAGTTGTGGCAACAGAGGTTTCCTCCTGCTGAAGCCTTTGGAGAGATGCCACCAGCAGCAGAGAGAACTGGCCCATGAGAGCACAGTCACTTTGATGTTCCTCCTGCATCTCCTGGTCATCGTGATGTCCCCAGACAGGCTCCTGGCACCAGGCAGTTTCTATAAGGACAGGGGGAAGAGGCTCATTAGTCCAAAGGTCACTACTGAATATACTGGTGTCCAACAGGGATCCATGCTGGGAAATCACGCCAGGCTTAGCCAGCTTAAATATCCTCAGCAAACTGAGAGAAAACTGATCCCGAAGTTACGTCTTGTCAAGCTTCTTCCAAAGATACTTGTCCTTGTCCATCTGTCTCTTCCCCATGTGGCTTCATCTCCTCTCCTTTGGCTCACATCTTATTCCATTTAGTTTTTAGCATAAACACATTAAACAGCAACCGGTTTCCTTCCAGCTTCTCCACATGGTGAACCTTGCTGCTTCTCCCTGCAGAAAGGACTTGTGTATTTGAACATCATCTGTCTTCCAAATCCATCAGTTGCCCTAATGAAAATTGGAAATCAGTGAAAGGTAAATGGCTTATTGGTAGGTATAGGAGAATAAACAATGTTTAAATGTTCTCTTGTCCATCCAATCTGTCTGATGCACTCACATCTCTCATACAACGTTCTGTAGAAACAACTGGTTGCCCACATGTTTTTTTCTGCCTTCGTCATATTCTAACTGCAGCAGAAATTGCTAATAATAACATCACCTTTCAGTGATTTGACTTCTGCTCCTCGGGCTAATTATCTGTCAGTCCACTGCAGAGAACCATCTAGAGGACATCCTGCTGAATCAGAGCAGCCTAAAACCAAAGGATGCCTTCAATAATCGCATTAATCACAAAAGGTCAAAAAAAAAAAAAACCAAAAAAACATGATCCCTGCCCCAACTGATGTATCATTTAGGAGACATGAGATGTAGGTGCAGGACAAGGGTGGTTTCATCTGATCAGATATGGACATCTCCATAGGAGCAAAAAGTCCCCAGGTCTTTTTCTGGCCAACAAAGGGTGTCTGTGTTGGTAAGAGATGTATAGATGTATGACATCCCACCTACACCTACATCTCTCCTGCACGACACTCTTCTGCCTGGACTTAAAGGGTTATTTCATTGGTAGCTTATTGTGGGCAGCATAAAGGAATAGCTCCCCCTAAYGCCATCTCCCGTGACTTGGCGAGGTCACCTCGTCCCACCCAACACAGCAGCTCGGCACCTGGAGACTGATTCATGATCAAATATACAGATTTTATCATGCTTTATAGGTATATCGCATCACTAAAGCCACTTGAGGACACCCACTCCACCGTACAGGCAGGGCAGAGGGCACTTGGGCAGATAAATACTCCCTGTGTTTACCAGAGAAATATCCCCACATCCTCCAGAAATCAGGTATTTGCCAACAGGTTCGTGGCCATTCAAACCACGCTGAGCAAAGAGAATTGTGGATATTCCTACTCTGGTTCCTAGGTGGGCTGTGCTTTCTAAATTGCTTTTTCATTTCGTTTTTATGCCACAGGGTTGTAACAGTGGTGCAAATAGGGCACCTTCACCCAAGACTCTTGATGGGAGTACCTCTGAAAACAAGAAAATTCAGCTTTCAGAAGCTAAAAGGCACCGATGGAGCCCAAGTTCCTGGCCTACACTCCACTAGTAAATGAGGACTGACTCTTCCAAAAGGCAGTTTGCCCCATTTTAAAGAGACGTATGAATTCTGGTCAGGATAAAAAGAACCAGCTGTCCCAAGGAAACAGGAGGAGCCCAGGCAATACACAATCTAACCTGGAAATGGCTCAGGGMGAGGGATGGCTTTCTCCCCACGTCCCACGTCCAAGTTTGCTTGAAGGGAGTAACAAAATGTGTCACTCAGAGGAGCAAAAAAGCAACAGCAGGAAAGCCAGGAAGCCCCGAAAGGAGGAGGAAGCTCGCCACGAGTGCCAGGCCTCGCTGGCGCGGCGGGAATGTCGCCCTCGTGCCGAGCAGCGCGGCAGGAAGCGCAGGGCCCGGCCCGCTCACCAGGAGACAGCAACAYGGGCCCCGTGTGTCAAGGTGTTGGAGGGCCTAGGAGGCAGGGCGGAAATCATCGTGGCTACGGAACAAAGGGCATAAAATGCTTTTTGTTGTTTTTTTTGGGTTTTTTTTGTTGTTTTTTTTTTTCAAAAACAAGGCATGAGACCAGGCCACGGAGCTGTCGCGGTGGGTTTCACCTCACACACACCAGCTGCCTTGCATGAAAGAGCCACCGTGGAGAGGCTGCCAAGAGCAACTGCAAAGAGAGCAGCGGAGCAAGGGCAGCCGGGGAGCCAGCCTGCCCGCCAGCAACACCTTCCCCCGGACATTATGGAGTATGTGCATGGAGAGCGCTGTGAGGGACCTCCGCACGCTTCCTTGGTACTTAACAAGATCCAGTAGGCTCTGCTGGCCACGCTAGACCACTTTGGAGCACGCACGTGAAGGCAGAGATGTCTTCTTCTGCCAAGAAATGCAGCCTGGGATCCACATCCCGAAGATGGGATAGTTTGGTGCTTCTTGTGAAATTGGACCCGATGCAGATCCCCCAAGAGGCTGGGAGACAGCAGCCTGCAGCGGCTGTCCCCATATCAAGCACAAGTGCCGTCAGTATTAACCACTAACAAAGAGGTCGAGGCAAAATTCTTGACCCTCCTTTAAAAAGAAAAATTAAAATCACCAAGCCCAGGTACTGACCTGGAGCTGAATTTCTTCAGAGACTTTTTATTTCGTTCTGCCTCAGAAGCTGCGAATTGTCCCAGGAGGGTCCTGGTGACATCACATCCTCTCCAAAGCGCGGCGGAGCGCTCCAAGTCGACGCGGAGAGCTCATCAGCGCGGCGAGCAGTGCTGCCCTGGGGCACCGGCACCGCAGGAGCCGATGGCCCCGTCCCCTTCGCTGCTCCTTCTGCTCAGCCTGGCGCTCCGTGAGTATGGAAGCAGGGAGGACCATGACCTTGCCCGGGAGGAGTAAATAAAATGGGAGGTTGGGATGTGCCCCCTTGTCTGAATCCAGGAGATCAGGCAAGAAAAAGGTAGCGAATGTGGGGGTAAAGAAAAAGCAGAGGAAAAAATATCTAACTTTCAGGTTTGCTTGTTGAGCRTGTGAAGGGAAAGTATGAAAAGTTTCACGTCCATCCGTGCAGGGCAGTGACCGGCGCGACTCCAGCGTTATGTCCCCGGGAAGGGAGCCCAGCCAGATGATTCCTTCTGGAAGGGAGGAAATGGGGATTTCACCAGGCAATATTATTAGGGAGTCGCCTCAGATACCTTGGGGAATGGCATTATCGTGGAGAAGGCACCTGAGGGGCTTCTCTGAGTGGGGAGACCTGTCTTGAAAGACTGGATGGGCAACTGCTGAGCCTCCCCTAAGCTTGATCTCAGCAAGGACCCAAGGGAAATATTTAAGCCAGGAGGAGTGATGCTCCCTTTGCACTTGCCCAAAGGCTAAGGAGCAGCCCCTGGGATTTGTCCGGAAAGGACACCGCTTTCTCCAAGCACTTCTGCCGAGGGCGAGAGGGCTGTGAATGGAGACAGGATTTCTCTCTCTCCCACAGGTTGCTGTGGGATCCAGGGCCAAGGGAGTGTATTTGCAGTCAGGTTTTGGGACGGCAAGATCACGCAGCCCCGGGAAGGGCAGCGCCTGGCGCTGGAATGTCGGCCGGGGTACAGCAACGTCGGGGTGTCCTGGATCAAGCAGGACCCGGGGGGCTCCCTTCACTTCATAGCGTTCGTCAACGCCCTGTCCGGAGTGACCTACAAGGGCAATGAACGAACGTCCAGACGCTTCGAGGCAGCGAAGCAAAGCAGCTCCTTCCGACTGGTCGTGAAGTCCTTCTCGGAGCAGGACCAGGGCACTTACTTCTGCCTTGTCAACAGCAACCAAATGCTGCACTTCAGCACTGGCCAAGCTGCCTTCCTCCCAGGTCAGCAACATCTCTGTCCTCCTGTTTGCTCTGACCACCCTCCCGCACCACACCACATCCCATCCCATCCCATCCCATCCCTCTTTTAACCAGCACATCTCCCGCACTCCCCGTCCCTGCCTCCAAGCCCAGCACATCTCACAGCCCATGAACTTCTCCTCCCAGAGGCTGCTCAGCTGCTCCTCAGAGCACTCCGGGCTGCGTCCCCTTTTCACCCTCACCAGCTCCCCGAAACACCAGGCTTTGGGACCCTCCTCGGGTGCCAGGGCTGCACAGCCTGTGCTTCACTCCATGTCCTGCTCCTCCGTTTTCTCCCACAGTGACCACCACGAAGGCACCCACCACGGYGGCACCCACGGCCCGGAGCAACGTCACCCCGACAGAGACCGGCCCGAGGAGCCCGGCGCCAGGTACCGCGCGGAGCCCGCGCACAGGGCAGTCCCCATGTSCTCACATCCTACACCTTTCCAGGCCACAGACGGGGCTTGGGGCTGAGGAGACAAGCGCCAACCCCTGCAGACTAGATTTGRGGAATGGAGGGGACAGGGAAGATAATTCCTCAGAACTGGCTCCATGGAACATGCAGATGCTCATCTGGGCAGGTTCGCAGGAGTGGTGCATGAGGGCCAGGCTGGGCTTGGGGACCCCCTGGTGACCACCCTCTGTGTTTGGGATGGGGAACCCTCTGCTTCATTAACAGATAACGCTCTCACGGATGAGAATGGGGATCTCTTGGCCGGGACCTCGCACGACTCCTGGAGTACTGTGTTCAGTTCTGGGCACCCCACTATAGCAGGGACGTGGAGCTTCTCGAGAGGATCCAGAGAAGGGCAACGAGGATGATTAAGGGAATGGAACATCTCTCATATGAAGAGAGGCTGAGTGAGCTGGGCCTGTTTTCTCTGGAGAAGAGACGGCTCAGAGGGGATATGATTAATATGTATAAGTTCAGRAAGGGAGAATGCAGGGAGGAAGGGGACAGGCTGTTCTCACTGGTGGCCAGCGATAGGACRAGGGGTAATGGCCACAAGCTGAAGCATAAGAAGTTCCGTCTCCAGGTGAGGAGCAACTTCTTTACTGTTAGGGTGACAGAGCAGTGGAACAGGCTGCCCAGGGAGGTTGTGGAGTCTCCTACTCTGGAGGTCTTCAAAACCCGCCTGGATGCCRCCCTGTGCCACATGCTSTAGGTGTGCCTGCTTGAGCAGGAAGGTTGGACTAGATGATCTGTAGAGGTCCCTTCCAACCTTAAATATTCTGTGAATCTGTGAATCTGTGACTCCACCAGCCGTAACTCCTGTCTCCAGGCATCTCCTCTTCCCTCTCTCTTCCTCCTGCAGAGACGAGCAAGGAGACGCTGGACTTCTCCTGCAGCATTTTCATCTGGGTGCCCTTGGCCTGCAGCTGCCTGGTTTTCCTCATTGCCCTGGTGATCACCATCGCGCTGTGCCAAAGTAAGGGACCGCGTTTAACCCCTATGCCGCAGGCCGTCCCCGGGCACGAAACCCCATCCTTCAGGCAGCAGACACTCTGCAAATGCTCCCTCAGCGCTCCCTTGGGAAGCGGGATGCGGGGAGGGGAGCACCGCTCTTAAAGAAGGCTTCCACGTTCTCCTCCTCTCTAGATTTAGACAGAAATATCCATGAGCTTCAACACTATAGGACAACAGGTTAGAGAACATTTACTCCACCAAGCTACATAGGTTCCACCTTCATCAGTGCATCAAGCACAGACATAGCAGGACCCAAAACTCTTTGATTAACTAGAATGTAGCGGCTTCAGCGTGGGACTTGCGAGCTCAAGTGCTGGGACTCCTCCATAGCCAGAAGGGCAACTTCATCGCATAGGGCCAGAGCCTGGCAGAGGCAAAGCAGCTCGGTAAAACCTCCAGCAACACCAAAGTTGCTGGTTTTCACACCCAAAACGTCTCTGATTGCCTGAAAAAGCAGTGAGTTTATATTCCAGCCRATATAACACTCACCGAAATCTCTTTTCTTTTAACAGAAGTTCTCAGCCCCAGCAGAAACTGCTGATTTCATTAACGTTTTCCATTTAATTCAGCTCACTTGCTTTACTGGTGAATCCAARTAAGGTGGTGTCGCGAGGCCGCTCCGCAGCCCGGCGAGACGCCRCTCAGGCCCCCGGCCATAGGAAGGAGCACGTGGCTCTGCCTCTTGGATCCTCACAGCGTGGGCTTGGATCCTCACGGAAGAAGCCACGTGCTGCTGCTGCTCTCTGCAGCAAAGCCACAGGGACAGGCTTCTCCCCCAGACACTCTTTTCCTGCTCAAATAAACGGCCCTACGTGATCGCTGGCTGAGTGCATCCTGCAGGAACAGCACGGGTGCTGCCACAGGGAAGAACATCATCCACAGGGAGGGGAGCATCCAGCTCCACCAAGGCGGGCGCCTCCAGCACACGCTGGCTTTGGGCAGAGCTCTGTATCCCGGTATCCCACAGCGCATTTGCAAGGGCAGGGAAGGGGGAGCAGGGGGCAGCCAGGGGCATCGCAGCTGCGAGCCCAGAGCCACCCTGAGCTCAAACTTTTCCCTTCCTTTTCCCTTTCAGGAACCAAGAGGCGGCGCTGCAAGTGCAAACGGTGAGTGGCAGCTGCTGGCAACTTCCCCTTGGGGTCCCGAGCATCTCGCACCCAAGTGCTAACGAGAGCAGGTGCCAACGAAAACAAACCAAAGCCCCTAAATGCCCCTAAAAAGGCTGGTGTGGAGGGGAGGGCACCTCACAGGTGACTACCCCGGGGGAGACGGTTCTCTGTGTGTTTGCAAGCAGCCGGGTCGGGTGTTTTTCCGAGCAGGGACACAGCGCCCGGTCCCGCGTGGCTCCGCTCTGCGGGGCTGAGCACTCCGTGCAGCCCAAGGCTGGGCTGCAGCAACCGCCCGGGGCTCGGAAACCAGGCGTTTTTAGAGGTTTTAGCCACGGGAGCCCCCAGCTCATGTTCTGCTTCACCCAGCCCTTCAGCTGGGCTGCTGCAGATCAACATCTGGCTGCCAGCCTTGCTGCAACGTGCACCAAGGCCTGGGGGTTATTGCCTTCCTCTCCTTCCCCAAACCGTCCCCTTCAGCTCCTCCTCCTCAGGTTACGTCCGTGCACTAGATATAAACTGCACTGTCACCACCAGAAGCCCCTTCTGCACAGATCTCAACCATCTCTATGGATTTAGATCATGGATTTCCACCCCTTGTTCCCCTGTCAGATCTAATTAACAGGACTTCTTGCTTACAGAGTCACAGAGGCCGATCTGGCCCTAGATTTTCCCAAGAAATAGTAAAGCAGACACAGACAGCTCTGGAATTAACTGATTTTCCAGGGCAGACAGGAATCCTGTTTTCCTGTTTTCCTAAATCGGATATATTTTTCCTTTCAGGCCTGTAAAGGGGAAGCCCAAGGCGCAGCCCTGCCCGCCAAACCCACGCACATAAGCGGCTCCATCTTTCTGCTTCTGGAGTGTCCTCACGGAGATGCCACCATGGGAGGCTGGACCTGTGCTCCAGGACTTGCAGTGAGGCTTTCTAAAGGCRGCAAAAAGTTGAATTTGCCACAGGAAACATTGCCACTTGGAAACAGGTGGAAAATACGGAAATGGAAAATAACTTGGAAAATTTGCCACTTGGAAATAGAAGCCCTCCCTGAAGCCACCTTCTCCCCGTGGTGCCACRCGTCTCCCAGAGGCTTCACTCCTCTAACACAACTCAGTGCTGCACTAAGAAGGTAAATGCCGACTAAAAGGCTTTACTTTGGTTACAGTCCATGACCCTGAATTCAGCTGCTTCCCTCCTGCTGTCCTGGTTCAGCTGCTGGCCACAATTCCRCTCGTTCCGGCAGGAGCTTCCCGCGAGCAGGGAATGGGGAGCTCCTTCCAGGTGCGATGGTKGAGCAGCGGGAAAGTCTCTGCCGCTTGTTCCGGTTAAGAGGGATATTTCATACCGGCTTGGGGGAAGCTGATAGGACAAAACGAGTTTCATGGGTTTTTTTCCAGCTCTGTATTTAACGTAAATACCTATTCCCTTTGCAGACCAAGGACTGAGAAAAAAATAAACCAATATTGCCAATAATTACTACTCATGTCTCTTACATTCTTCTGCTCCTACCCTCAGGAAAGTTAAAAAGAACATAAATGATGGTTAGAGGGAGCCTTGGGTAAGGGAGCAAAGAGTTCAGGGCTCAGCTTGCAGTTTATCACAGCTTAAAATTATCTCTTTAAAACTCACATTCCCAGGGCCCAGTGAAACTTCTTGTCCCGTGCAGGGGATTTAAAAGTGGACGAGGTTCCCTGGAAATGCTCAGGTATCCTGGCCAAGGGGCTGATACTGTCACATTCTCACGAGAAATGCTCCACCTGAACCATCACCGCCACAAAAACCTGAACTTTGCTATTGTACAATGGGAGCTGTTGAAATTCCTATTGGAATTTAGGCCTCCAACTTACAGAGCTTCCAGAAGATCCCATCAGCAAAGCACAATCACACAGATCACAGAATGGTTGAGGTTGGAAGGGACCTCTAGAGATCATCTAGTCCAACCCCGGGGACACCCAGAGCACGGGGCACAGGGTCGGCACAACTACCACACCTAACTAGACAGCACAAGGGAGACACAGGGAAGGGAGACAGTAGCTAGAAGGTCAGCGTGACTTGGGTTGCTCTGGGACCAGGTGGAAGGGCTGCAGCACCATAYGGAGCCTCGGGAAGCACTGGGGCTGCAGGGGACTTGGGGATGGGAGGGAGGGTCCTAACCTGGCTGGCCCTTGGGAAGACAGGCCTGAAGACTGCTGATGTGGTGAAGAACAGCTGCTGATTCAGTGATTCTGTGCTGAATAAAGCACGAAGCTTTAAATATTCACAGACACGAAGCATTAGAAAGTAGGAAATCCTGCTAACTGAAGTAACTAGAACAGGTTCTTTCTCCCAGACCCCTCTCCGCAGCCAATCAGCAGACCAGGTGTGATGCTTCACTCAACTGTAAGGTCTGTAACTTCAGAACGGAAAGTCCAAGCAGCTCATGTGGTGACTAATGGAAAGATCAAGCCTCACAGCTGACGTATCTCACGAACCACCACGACCTGCTGCAAACACCACCATCTTCACCACAAAGGTCAGGGCCAGTCCACTGTAACAACAGGTAAKAAGGGAGATTTAATCCAGTTTGTGAAGACTCTTATGATGGCACCCTCTGTCCTCACACTTGTCCTCTTGCCAGCAGACCTTGGGCTGCAGTCATTCCCTCCTTGGTCAACACAGAGAGGTTCCTCCATGGGGCAAATGCTCCTGAGCAGAGAGGGACAGAACCCGTCCTTAGAGAAGGAGTCTTGGCTTTTTCCCTTCTACACCCATCAGTTCTCAGACTTTGCTCATTCTCTGCAATCCTGCTATTCCTCTTCTGCTCCAGCTCTTCTAAACACGTCACCCAAATGATATACTTGGGTTGGCTGCAAACTGCAGGTCATGTGGCAGTAGAGCTCTGTGTTTTATTGAGAATTACAAGCAAGCACAAGCATACTGAGGAATGACTTTTGAAAGCACTTCCATCTCACTGCGCATGGACTCTCCATGGGATACTGAAGTCCTTGCACACACTGTTGTCCATCCTAGGATACCTASAGGGAACTTGGTCAGCTGCCTGTTCTTCCATTTCCTCACGGATGTTTCTGCCTGTGAAGCACTGCAGTTGAAATGATGTGTTTACAGGCAAACCAAATCAGYACCAATACTCCATGGCGTGAACTGCTGTGATTCAGCTTTTGCTCCCAAAACAGCAACATCATCTTTGCAGAAGAGCAGAAGCCTGAGAGAAGCAGAAGAGCCACYTGGAGCAGGAAGGGAGGCAGATGTGCCAGAAGGAGCAGGTTTTCTCCTTAGTCACATCCCGATCTCATGCTAACACTCCGAAATTGCAGGACACATCTCATGGATGTGCCTGCTATGGAGAAGTTGGCTTTAAATGAGTAGACTATTGGCATCAAGGAASCCTGGTTCCCCAAAGCAACACTTGTTTTCCTCAACCAGTTCTTCCCTCTGTGCAGTCCCACAACTGCAACCTGCATTTGAGAGATAAAATAAATAAAATAAATTCAGGTCCTTTGGAGCCAGCACTCTATCCATCTACTCCCATTTAAACCTATGGCCCTAAAAAATCTGCTAACTTTTCCACTGAAGTGCAGAGATGAGTAATAAACTTTATAATCAGCCCAGTAAGACTTGGATTCTCTTTACAAGAATAATAGTTACCTTTGCATCCCTACTGATCAGCTACGGGGTGGAGGAAAAAAACCAGACCGCATCTTTTGTGCTGAAATTGTAGTAACCAGACACAAATGCCAGTACTGGTGACACCCCAGCTGCAGAGCTGAAGGATTAACGCGGCGCCGTGCGAGAAGGCACAGAGCAAACCTAGCAAACCAAGCAAGCTCCGAGCAAGCCGGGCGCGCTTGCGGTCGAGCAGGAAGCCGGGGCTGCCGCTTGCACAGCCGGGCAGGAAGGACCGGGCGAGCTCGAGCCCAGGCGAGCAGCACCAGGGTGCAACCTGCTGCTCTGCAGGCTCTCAGCACCTAGCAGCCTTTTTGCTCATAAGCTGCAGAGGAGGCTGTGGGTGCCAGGGCGGCTTCACGGGTGCAGGGGAAAGGCTGGAGCTGCCAGGGTTGGCAGGAGGCTCCAGAAGGAGCTCCAAGGACAGGGACTGCTTGGGGGGAAGGTTTCCTGGAGGTTACTCCTTTTCTGGAGGTTACTCACTGCAAGGCGAGGAGGAGCTGGAGATGAGGATGGATTTCCAAAGCCAAGGGGAAGGACCGCATTTACTCCGAGGTCCGGGACGACCTAATAGAGCAAAACTCACAAAGTCATGAAGTAGAAGTAAGCACCGTATGAGCTAATGCTTCATAGCAGAAAGAGGTGATTTGCAATTTGAATGTAACCTCAACTAATAAAGAAAAACAGCATTCAAGCCCATCACTAAAAGCTCTGTAAAACTGAGGGCAGCTTCAGACGGCCCCACATCCTTGATGCAGCAAGTGTTTCTGCAACATTTGAGAAGGAAAGAGTCCGGAAAAGGCAAGGAAAGAGAGAGGAAATTCTGGGAAGGACAGCAAAGAGTGCAATACAACCTCCCTGCCTTCCTTCTGATTCACCTGGACTCAAACCTACTTGACAAGCAGCCCAAGTGCCCGGTTTGAGCCTGGGCTCTCCCTGCTGAACACACAGGGTGATTTTTGTCCTGGGAGAGTTATCACATCAGCCTGGACGACCTGCTTTTCTGCCATCTATTGTATCATYTAGAAATCCTGGAAAATAATGCAATTTGCTCTCAGTTCCTGCAAGAAAATCTGTCAAACAAAAGCAGTAGCCGTATGCATATATTTAGCACATAGTCCCCCCTTGGCCAATGTCTCATGGATGATGCTAAAGACTTGAATCAAAAATGCTCTTTGCATCTTTCCCTGCTCTTTTTCTTTTTCAYCAAGGTAAATGACCCAGAATGATAAGGAAGGAAGGAAGGAACCAATGCAGTGTCACCAGGTCTGAAAATAAACACAAGCAAAAGGAAATGCAGGGGAAAAGGGAAATCAATCTCCAAAACAAAAAGTAATTTTCAGGATTTCTACAGGTGAAGGAAGCTGGTTGGATTCCTCCTTCCTCACCGAGTCTTCCTGTCGCTGTTTTAGCTTTCATGCATCTTTTCTCCTATATACTGTTCTTTAAGGATCACTCTTCTCTTACATTTATGTATTACGACCTGAATTAAATCAGAAATATTAATAGCAATAATAATACCTTTATTTGTTACAGGTCATCTCTGACACACTCTTATTTTTTCCTACTCTCCAAGCACCTTMCCCTACACMGCCTTCTCTTAGGGGGACAGATCAYGGAAGATTTCTTTTTCTAGCAAAAATAACAACCACCACCACAATCTACCACTGCAGTGGTAAGCACAGAAAGGAGTATTTTGCAGTAGACAAGACAAACCTTGCAAGGAAGAGCTAAGGTAARTTTCCTCTGTTAAAGCTGGCAAGTTGGCTCTAAGCAGTCATAAAATACCCGAAAACCTGCAAATTAGAGCAGCAATTGCCCTGTAAAATGTTAGGAAGAAAGAACAGAGGAGACAAGAGGGAGGGAGGTCTAAGTTAGCAGGGACCAGCAGCTCTAACTCATTCCTTCTAATGCACATTTTTCACTGCAGCTTCTATACCAGCAGTTGCAACCTGACTTACCACCAGAAGACTGAAATTAATGCTACGTTTCAGGAGGGAAAGGTATCGGTTTTCAGCTTGCTTTATTATTTACTCAGTTGTCTCTAGCTGCAACTTACAGAGCTGATGTCACTGCAGGATAAGCCTCCTTTATGGAAGATATTTCCCTCAAAGCGGGTGAGCACTGAGGACTGAACAGGATGGCAATGTCAGCAGCTCTGCCTTAAAGACTTGGCCACGGTGCTATGAAAACGGCCCATAACTTTTAACAGCTACTTAGGGTCACTATGCACCACTTCCTAATATCTGTTTTGGAGATCTAGTTATGCTTTATATCACAATTTATTTAGAGCTCCCCAAGAACATATCACAATGGATTTGCTGTTTAAGACACAGAAATGAACATTAAAACTTGGGTCTACTAATAGACATAGAA